AAAATCCTTAGGCTTGTGTGACAGCTTAAACTCCTGGACTTTGTAAAAGTGTTTATTTTTTAAAATAACTCCAAGAAATACACACTTTCTAAGACTCAGGAAGTCAGGCTGTGTTTTATATTCACTACAGAGGGACAAAAAAGACACATTGATTAAAATAACTAAAATTTTAGAAAATATATCAGTCAGTAGTGGAGACATAACTTCCTTCAATTAAATTACTTGAGAACTAGCACTTAAACAACTGTTTACTGAAAGAAAATGTACTTTTAATCACATTTTTATTATACTAATTAATAAAGGTGTCACTATGCACCTAACACATTTGAAATTGTGCACCTAGTTGAGACTACATATTTCTCACTGTTGATAAGAATCCTGTTGCCCCTGACTTGGTAAAATAAAAATAAAAAAACAGATGCCAAGTATATGGCTCTGGTTAAGTCTCTTAGATTACCCACTGGTAAGACAGCATCACTGTTCCTTCCCTAACACAGGAACAAACTGATGTGAGGACTCAGGTGGGCGTATATTTATTTAATCAATTTACTTAACTTATGGTGGCTGGCCAGTAAGGAGGTACAAATCCCTGACCTTGGTGTAATCAATACTGTGCTCTAACCAACTGGGCTAAACAGTCAGCCCCTTTATTGTTTTAATTAAGAATAAAGCATCCTCAGGTGGTAATATATTTTATAAGTCACAGCTATAAGTTTTTCAAAGTTTTCTCCCTGTGTGAAATTTTCTTATTATTGTATTGAATTACAGAACTATAGCAATTGGCCACGAATGCCCTCTAATGTCTAATCAATAGTATTTACTAACCAAAATAACTCAACATGTCCTTGTGGAAATCCACATTCAAAACATCCCACAAACTTGAAAAAGGTACTTTCTTTCTGGAAATAGCAGCCCATAATACTAAGCCATGTTTTTAAACAAGAGGAAAATAAATTCTACAAAAAGTTGTAAAATATAACTCCTGGCAAATAGAGGAGGACTGAGGAAAAGCTGCTGCTCTCCACAAGAAAACATGATGCCTCATCTCATCCTGTAAAAACACGTGAGTGACACAGCTCTTCCACCTAAGCTTTTGTTGTGCTTCCTTTCACTGGCCCTCTGGATTAGATGCATTAACATTCTTTTCTTTCTTCTTCCTTCTTTTCACCTTTTCTATTTTTTGAAGAATTGTGGCCCAGAATGGTTTACAGAAGTAATATATGGGAAACGTGGTTTGTAAGGTTCTATAGTCACTCTTATCCCCCTTGGAATGGAACATGAGGCTAAACACAATAACCAGCAGAAATATCATTTGAAAAAATGATTACATTCTCTTAAACTCTTCTCGGTACAAGTGAAGGAGGAGACCTTAGGTAGGAAGCTGAGATATCCCTGCCTCTCAAATAACTACATATTTTACAGGCTATGAAAGCTAGCAGGGCTCCTATGAGACCATCTGATGAGAGGATTTGCAGAAGATAGTCAAAAAGAACACAGAAGTCTAGGATCTGTTCACCACAGCCAGGACACCATCTGAAAGATCTGTGCATAATGTCAGTAGAAACCAGAGCTTGGCCAAAGGAGCACTGGATGCTGCTGCTCTGCCTCCCCCTTTTGCTCAGGCATGACACTGCCCTCCATAACACCTGTTGGGAGTACAAATTGTGTGATACTTTTACTAGTTTGTGTTCATTTTATAGCAGGAATAGATTTAGTTAGCTAGAGAACAGGGAAGAACTTTGCTCAAGGGACTTAACATCACAGACCTAAGAGCCTAAGTGAGAAAGCCCACTCACATGAT